TTCTGAACCTCTGTGCATTCCCATATTTCTTAGCTTAACCTCACAGACCATCACCTTCCCATTTAGCCATGGGTTTTTGGTTGAGTGCTTTTATGATTGCATCTTGGAGAGTCCAAGGAGGGTCACAGCATTACTGAAAATCACAATATTCAGAATGACACTGAAGGAATATTCAGACCTGCATAAAGCTACTGCATTATGCCAAACTAAAATGAAACCCTTGCCAAGTCAAGCCCAGAATTGTGAAATTCCTTGATTAATATGAATATAATTTTTTTCATTATTTTTAAAGCCTGAGATAAAGATTCAAAGTCTAAATTACTATTTCCCTTCTAAGCATTGTCCTCTCTATTTAAAGGATGCACTGAGGTACAAAAAACAAGCTTGAAATCTACAAGAGAAGTTTCTAGAAAAGCAAGTCGGAGATTTACATTCCACTTACATCAGTGCAAGTTGAGCATATAAGTACTTTTCTGGATGTCATTGTGTCTACCATTCAAAGCTATTAGTCATGGGATATATTCCTCTTATCAAAAGGAACAGATTGCTACACTTCAGCTATCTATGGCAACTGCTGTGTGCAAGTACCTGCTTCTACATCCTGTGGGTCAGCCTGCCCACTGCAGTTGCTGTGCGTGCACAATGACCGGATGGGTAGGATGGCTGGAGGGAAGCTGAGGACTGAAGCTATAGCAACCAGCAATAAGAATACTTAAAGTCTGCATGTGTTCCTGTAGCTTTAAGAATACTCTTGTGCAGGATACTCTTCAGATTTTTATTAACTGCATTGGCATTAGATCACGCTGAGATATTTTTTCTTTTCAGCAGAATTTAAATTTAGTCCCATTTAGTTCAATTTTGCAACTGTTTTAAACATTTTCCATTGCTTGGTGGAGATAGAAAAGACTTGACGAAACAGGTGTTTTAGGTTTTACAAAATAAACTCTAAAGATCAAAACAGACTGTTACAGGATAAACCAAAATTGAAATTTAAATTAGCTTAAATTTAGATGTTTGTTTGCAGGACAACTAGAAAGGTATCAAAGCACCTACATATTAACTGTCATGTTCAACCAGCAGAATGAATCAGCAAGTTTGACTCTGCCTATAAGAATAAAAATTATAAACCTAATTATCATTACTATATCATTACCACACATCATTTTTACTGCAAAATGAACATATGCCACAAATGTATTAAATCTATTAAAGGATAATCTGAAAGTTACACAATGGCCAAAGAGTGATGGATTTCCAACTTTGTCTTTGGAAAACAATCCAGACCTACACACAGCTTCCTGAAGACATCTGTGGAGGATAGGGGAGGGGGGAGAAGGAAGAAGTGGTCACCTTTGCACAACATGTCTCCCTTTACTAAAGAAGGTTTTGTATTGATACCAAACTCACCTCCCAAAAAAAACTCAGCAGAAGAATGCAAGGAGACACAGTGAAACTGCTTCATTGTGTGCACACAAGAAAGTGGAGGTGCAGACATTCTGAATTCCCTGTCTGCAAGACTAAACTGATTCCGCAGCAACACAGCACAGAGAAAAGTGAGCAGTTTGTCTCAAAAATGGCAGGAAAATAACATCACTTGATTACTCATTTCTTACAGGGTTGGTTGTTTTTTTTTGGTTGGTTAGTTTTGGTTTTCTCTTTTGTGTTTGTTTTTTTTAAAGAAAGCATAACTGTATCTCGACAGTGATGGTTTGGAAAATAATTCCCTCATATATGACCATGGAAAACATGTGACAAATTGCAAAGTGAAGATCAGAAAAACCATGCATCACCTTTTTCTCTTAAATGCCTGTAATCTTTTAGAATTTCCTTTTGTTTCTCATTTGATATTTTGCCCATCAAATGTTCTGTTCCTGTCCTGAGATAATATTTATGTTACCTGTTCTTTCTCTAGTCCCACACAGTTTTTTTCTGCTATATAGCCCTAATGTCTGGCTCATCTCTCTGTACGTGATTTAGCACATTTCCTTCCCTTCTTCCTGAAGTGGCTGGTAGCAACTCTTATCTTAGGGTATTTCTTTATCCCTCTATTCTATTTATGCACCAACAAATCCACCTAGGGAAAAAAAAAAGAGACGGCAGGCTCTCCTTTGGAAAGAATTGCACATTTGTACAAGCAAATTAAAACCTCAGCTTAATATCAATGTGAAGTATTCAACTGCCCTGTGAGAAAACAAAAGCAACACTTCTTTAAAATAGTTTATATTTTGTACTCTGTTTCTGCCAGCTTTTTGAAGGGAAAAGCACTTCCAGTTTCAGTGCTATAAAAAAAAAAAAGGAGTAAACATACATGGTCTGTCACATGGGCATTGCAGGGCTTACTAGTTTGGTTCAGTTCCTCTTTAGAGTACTGTATTGCAAAGGCCTGCTCTCCCCAAATTAAAGTGAAAAAAATAGCTTTTTAAAATTTTTATTTTACATTAAAACAAGGCAATAAAATTTATATTGACATAAATGTATTAGGGGAAAACAAAAGAGGTGGCAACATGTATTCTCCTTTTGACAAATAGAATACAGGTGGAAGAGAAAGCACAGTTTTTATAAACAGAACAATAAATGAGCTTTTCATCCCAACATTTGGAAGTATTTACACGTGTATCACTTAACCCTGTCACAAGTTCACAAGTACCTGCGAAGTATAGTATCAAAATATATAGGGAATAAAATGCATTGTGTGGTCATCTCTGAAATGCAAGGGACCAGAACCTGAAATGATCAATGTTAACACCTGGAAAAAACTGAGAATTATTCAGAGAAGCAGATTTGTATCTTTAAAATAATATTTTTACCTAAAACCTACAATTTTCAGCTGTCTCACTGTCGTTTTTATTCTCACAGAAACTTTAACAACTGAAGAAACTGTTAGAACTTCATTTTAATATGTCCATCCAGAGGACAGCGAAAGGACAGCTTACTAAACAATAGCATTCTACAAAAATGAGGGCAGATACTTTTATCTATTGTTCATCCTCAGCCAATGCATCAGTCATGTAGGATAGCAGTTGGCAGGACATCATCAAGGAAAAAGTAATCCAAGGTCAGCTCATGAAAGAAAGCTTTTACTGGATGACAGTGTGACCAAATCCCCTTTGGCTGCTGATAGCATCGTTGCTATAAGGAAGCTTAGAAACTTCAAGATCAGCACTAAAGTGATGATTCAAAACATGGAACTAGTACAATAAACCTCATTCATACAGCACGGAGGGGCAAATAAATGCACAAAAGCGTGGTATTCCAGCAGCCTTCTTCTCAAGGACATTTAAAGTATGCATTCCTGGTTCTATAATCAACAAGACAGGTAACAAGCCCAAGAAATTTGCTCACAACTCCAGGCCTTTCAAAGCACCAGTCCATCTTTAAACTTCCCTTCACTCATGAAAAGGGTCCATCAAAGGCCCAAGAATGCAACGGTTACATGAAGCAGCACTGGACATCCTTTCATCAGGCATGAGTAAGGAAACTACAGCCCGTTACTTAATTTCCTATGTATTGTATGATGACACAAGACTCACTGCAGTGTCTGAAAGGCAATCAAAAAAAAGCTGCACTGTCTAGATTGCATTTTACATTCTTTTTCAATTGTACTTTTATTTAATAATGACAAGAACACAAATAAAACCCACTCTGTAGTCCATATTTATATTTTCCATTCAGGAGTTCCAATAATTTTTCATACCAAGTAGAGATAAAGCTGACTTGGCAGACTGTATTTATCAACACTTCATCTGCTAAGCCATTTCAGCTGGAAAGCCAGCCATATTGTCACCAGTTCTAAGAAGCACACTTCTCAGTGTGTTGTGAGAAAAACTCATGAAAGACATATAATCCAAATAAGCAAGTAGGATAATAAAAAGGAGGTAAAACTCCAAGACCCAAGAGTTCAGCATTTAAAGATTTGTTATTTCTAATTGCTAAAATGGAAGTTTATGTAGTGCTGAGTACTTTAGAACTAGACAACATTCATTTTTGAACACTGAATACACACTTCCCAAGTTCCCAAAATCTCTTTCACAGTACTACAACAAACAGGAAACATAACAAAATAAAATAAAATAAAATATTGTTCTGGTAATTTCCAAATTTGATAGTTTTTCAAACATTGACTCCCAAAAGTAAAACAATCCTGTTCTTATGACTATCAGGAATAACTATTTCATGGGACTATCTCATTCTTCTGTGACACTTTCTGAGAAAAAAACCCACAATTACACAAATTGGAATTTCAGAAACAATTGTAACTGGTAACAGACAAAAATGAAATAATTCTGAAGAAAAAAGAGCAGCAAAAGCTTATTTCAATGCTGATATATGTGATTGGATGCATACACAGAGAAATCTTTGATAGCTTTACCACACATGATATTTATTTATTGATAATACATGCAATAGTTTCTTCTTTATTAATAAAAATTTGCAGTTGTATCCTATTTTAATACCAAATCCTTCAACTTTCTTATTCAAACAAACTTTGAATCTTTAGATTAAGAGGTGACTCCATTAGCTGTATGAGATTTCTGATACTTAAGCAAGAAAAAGTGCTCAGAACAATACACTGTAAATAAAATTTACTACTGTTAAATATGCCATTACTTCACCATTAATCCTTTCAGCAGCATCACCTTGACACTTCCTTTCACTTTCTAGACTTTCCCTCTCTAGAACCTGATTCCCCTTCCCCTCCTCCAAAATTCTGATTGGTAGTGATCATTAGTTGTGATCATCTGAGGACTTTAGCTTAACAGAGTTGACAGATATAAGGAAAGTGTGTTCATCAGTTGATGAACAAGGGATTTGCAGTCCTACTGCTCCCACTTAAGATAAAAGAATTTAGTAATGTGGCATTATAAAAAAAACAGGATAAAGATAGATGCAGAAAAGCAAGTGAAATTTTATTTATCCTACATCTCAGTCTCTTCCTGTAGGTGTGAATACAAAGGACAAAACAGGATGGGAACTCAGCCAGGAAGGACAGCATCACTTACCATTTCCTGAGATGCATAGTTTGGATCTTCGGGATCAACTGACCAGTAGCAGTAATCAAAGCTGAAGGCCACAGTCCTTTCTCTAGAGTCCCAAGTGCCATTAAGCCTACTGTCAACCTGACAACAGAAAGAAAAAAGATGGAAAGGCCATTCACTTCACTTTGAAGCTGAACAAAAAGTACGCATTTAAAAACTAAAAGGAACTTTATCTAGGATCTGCATTGTGGAAAAGGAATGGCAAACGGTTTATCCTCTTTATTATATTTTATTTGATGCTCAGAGTGAGGAGGAGATGTACATGGCACACCTGCTGAAGAATTTTTTCTAAAGGGTCGTTTTCTACAGCTAAGATCCTCCAGACTACATACAACAAACCTAATGTAGTGAACCTTCACAACATCTGTTAGCAGAAAAGCTCTATAGACCTTCTTATATTTTTCTGTAATTTTTGTAGTTTCACCAAAAAAGTGCATCACAGAAATTATGCCAAAGTGAGAAAAAAAAAAACAAACAGTCTTCTTACTGCATAGTAGAAAATGCAGGTCTTTTCCTCTGTTCCCCCTTTGCTTTGTCATGGTTGCAAGCTAATTCTTCTGGCACTGGCACTGTGCACTACAAACCTAACCTTTATAAGTTAACAAGAATGGCAGCAAAGCCTTTCCAGCATAATAGTCAGAAATTGTGACTAAAATTTTAAGGGAAACATATAAGTCTTTCTGTATAATCTTGCCCAAGTGAATAAAGCAGATACACTTACAAACAGGAACTACACCTTGTTCTACTCATCCAAGGAGAGCAATGAGTCATAACATGACACACAGTTAACACCACCCACATGTAATTTAGACCTAATCAGTAATTTTATTGTAACCTTGACATTTGCATTAACATAAGCAGAAAAAAAGGTTTGTTATAATTCAGTACCTAAACAAACTCCCTCACTAATGGCCTCAGTAGCAAGAGGTGACAGTGCAGTCTGCCACACTACTGGATGAAGAGCACTGTAAGCACTGAACTCTACTACCAAAGGTGAGGTTTACAGGGAAAATTAATTTACAGGCCCATCTGACAGGCTTGTTTTGTGGTTTTGTTTTGTTTTTTTAAACCAAGAAAGCAAAGTGAAAGAGGACAAAACCAATTTTGTTATCTTTGAAGTAAGGAGGCTTTCTATATTTTAAACTCGGCGTGATTCTAAAAGTTGTCACATTGAGTTAAGCACAACCCAGGATTCCTTTCAGTAGAACTACCATCCTAAGGAGCCTATTGATCATCTTCAATAATGACATTTTCACCTCATAGCGATTCAGAAATTTTTATGCAATTACCTTTTATTTTCTTAGGTTTTCTGCAGCGATAGGCAGAACACAGCCATGAGTACTGCCTTCTGGCCACAACAGGCAGAAATATTTAAAAATACCCCTCTACCTCAGGAAAAACAGCCCATAGTCACAGGGGTGAATCAGCCTTTTGGCAAGAAGGATTTTCAACTACAAAGCGCACCTGCCCCCAATACAACAATATGAACATTTGTATATAAACATTAATTTATACATGAAATTGGATTAATCAAAGGCTGTCTAAATTTAGTTTATGCACAAAGCAAACTCACTCTCTTAAAAAAACTCACCAATTACGAAAACCCAAGGCAGAAAACATCCACAAGCCAGCCCTTGCATCTCCAAACAACCCTTCTCATCCTTCTACTCACAGTCTGCCTCACCACTGTGGTTTCCCCACTATCCCAAGGCAGCCCACAGTGCCTCTTTAAACATATAAAATGAAAAACCACTCTAGGTCTAAAAAGGCTCAGCTGGACCCAGTTAGGCAACCACATCACTGAGGCGCCTGTGAGCCAGGGAGGCTGCCTCAGTCGGGTGGTTCAGGCTCAAGGCCCAGATTCTCACAGCCCTCTTGAGGACAACCACCAAGAACAGACAGCATTGCACACAGAGAAAAAGGAATCGGGAAAATCTATTTGAGAAAGTAGTGAGTCTCAGACCCTGCAAATACAGCTTTTAAATTGAGATATACAGAAAAGAAGTGATTTCACATCCATGAGACCTCTCATATCACTAGTATTTTTCCCTCTTATTAAAAAAAAACAAAACACTTGCAGTAAATAGAAAAATAAGTTTAATTGAAACTAGATAAATAGTTTAAATCTTGTACTTCAATTTTTGCCACTGTTTATCCTCAAAACCTAATAAATTTTTTCTCTTGAACCAATAACACAGAATAAATATAAAGAAAAGGGAGGCAAGAAATACAAAATGCACCCATCTTCTAGGATCCCCACAGTAATCACAGTTATCCCACATGTCATTGATTTGCCTTTAAAGCAGAAACATGTTTGACAACATAAAATGTGTTTGTTCCCATTCTATTAATTTAGTGAAGGACTGTGGCAGCTTTAAGTAGTTCAAGAGTCTAAAACAAGAGAGTTGGTTCCCATGCACAGCAGCTCCAGAGCTTTGAGATGAAGGCAGCTACATTCACTTTATTCTTACAATTCTTGGTCTTTTACCAAGATCTGAAGTGTATCCAAATACTTTTTGCTTTATTTCATGCAAGTCAGTTGCACTCCGAGTGCAAATAGGAGAGGAGGAGAGACACAGGGAAAGAAATTATCCAGATGTTAGTAACAGCAAGATAAGCTCAAGATCATAAACAATTTTACTAACAGCTTTGAATGATGGCATGCAGTCAGATTGCAGCAGCTTTGACAAATACAAAATACAGAAAATGTAGCTACATGTTATATCCCATGTGGAAAAAAAACCCCAAACAAAAAAACAAAACAACCAACAAAATACCCACAGACTCAAACTGAAACAAACCCTGGCACACACACTTTTGCTGCAATTACTCTAGAGCTGTTTAAACTTCTGCCTTAATATTTCTATTAGAATGACACAATAGCCAAGTAAACATAGAAAAGCATGAGGATATCATCATCTTTATATGAGAAACAGATTACAACAAAAAGCATACCTTTATATTTCTGACTTTTGCCACTTTGCCGTCAACTTCTACAATCACTCTTCCTCCTTCTGCACTCTCTCTGGAAACAGAACACATTCAAAAATCCATTTAAAATATTAAGACACAGAAAAAAGGATGTCAAATTTGTAAACTCCAGAAATTTGTGTTTACTTTAACAAACTGCAAATCAGAAGGAGCTATAAAACAGATACTCATAAGACACTCTTTGACAGGAAGCAGCATTTGCAAATCTGCAGCCAAGTATCTCAATAGTAAAATAACAAAACAGGACTGTGGTCATTAAACAGTTCCAAAGTGATTGTCCTAAATACTTTGTCAGAATTTTATTTCAAACTAAGAGTTGTTGGTTTAAATTATGCTTACAAGGAAGTGCAGTGGAGCACGGGTAGACTGGCTGTGCTTTGTGGAGAACAGACCCATGTCCCAGACCTGTGAGCCACAAGCATTGTCAAGTCATACCACCAAATTTTTACCACATACTCCAAAGTGTTTGTTGTAGTCCCCAAAAAAGTACTCTTGGCAAAACAAAACTTATCCTGAAATGTAGTAGACAGGACTGTTCCATAAGAGCAAAGAACCACATTATTATTATATTTACTGTTTGCATAAAACTCCCAATGAACACAGCTATGACTGGCTCCTACAGCCACCTCCTACTTCCAAAGGTGAATCATATTAAACAAGAATGAAAAAAGCATGTAGTCCAAGCAAAGAAAACAATGACATAAACCCAGCGTAAACCTTACTTGTGGGCTGACAGCATGATATCTACTTGAAGTTAAGGATGCTCTTATTTATTTGCTGATGATACCAAGCTGTGTGGTGTGGTTGACACCCTAGCGGGAAGGGATGCCACCCTGAGGGACCTTGACAGGCTGGAGAGATGGGCCAGTGCCAACCTCATGAAGTTCAACAAGCCCAAGTGGAAGGTCCTGCACCTGGGTCAGCACAACCCCAGGCACAAATACAGGCTGAGGGGAGAATGGCTGGAGGGCAGCCCTGAGGAGAAGGACTTGGGGGTGATAGTTGATGAGAAGTTTGACATGAGCTGCCAGTGTGAGCTGGAGCCCAGACAGCAACTGCATCCTGGGCTGCATCAAAAGAAATGTGGCCAGCAGGGTCAGGGAGGGGATTCTGCCCCTCTGCTCTGCTCTGGTGAGACCTCACCTGGAGTTCTGTGTACAGTTCAGGGGCCCTCAGCATAGGAAAGACAATGGAGCTGTTGGAAAGGGTCCAGAGAAGGGGCATGAAGATGGTCAAAGGGCTGGAGCACCTCTGCTATGAAGACAGGCTGAGGGAGATGGGGCTGTTCAGCCTGGAGAAGAGAAGGCTCTGGGGAGACCTTACAGTGGCCTTCCAGTACTTGAAAGGAACTACAAAAATGTTAAACAGCCCTGGTCCCAGTACTGACCCCTTGAGGAACACCACTCATCACCTGCCTCCATTTGGACACTGAGCCATTGACCACAACTCTCTGGGTGCAGCCATCCAGCCAATCTCTTATCCACCGAGTGGTCCATCTGCCAAATCCATGCCTTGTCAGTTTGGAGACCAGGATGCCATGTGGGACAGTGTCAAACACTTTGCACAAATCCAGGCAGATGACATCAGTTGCTCTGCCACCATCCACCATCTCTGTAGCCTTGTTGTAGAAGGCCACCAGATTGTTCAGGCTTGACTTGCCCTTAGTGAAGCCATGTTGGCTGTGACCAATCACGTCTTTATTTTCCATGAGCCTTAGCAGACTTTCCAGGAGGATCTGCCCCATGACCTTGCCAGGCACAGAGCTGAGACTGACCGGCCTGTAGTTCCCTGGGTCTTCCTTTTTCCCCTTTTTAAAAAGGGGCTATGTTTCCTTTTTTCCAACCAGCAGGAACCTCACCAGACCACCATGACCTCTCAAATATGATGGAGAGAGGCTTAGCCACTGCATCTGCCAGCTCCCTCAAGACCTGTGGGTGAATCCCATCAGGTCCCATAGATTTATGCACCTTCAGGTTCTTTAGATGGTCACGAACCTGCTCTACACCTACGCTGAAGGGTAACTCACTCTTCCAGTCCCTGCTTTCACCTTCTGTGGCCTTTGTGTTCAGGTTGGAGCACATGCCAGAGAAGACTGAAGCAAAGAAGTCATTGAGGACCTCAGCCTTCTCAATATTCTGTGTTGCTACCTTGCCCTTTTCCTTCAGGAGAGGGCCTACACTCTCCTGGGAAGTCCTTTTCTCCCAACATACCTAAAGAAGCTTTTCTTATTGCTTTTAACATCCCTGGCAGGATTTAATTCTAGCAGGGATTTGGCTCTCCTAACCTGATCCCTGGCTGCTCGGACAACCTCTCTGTAATCCTTCCAGGAAATATAAAGACAGTAAAATACAAACAACGGAAAATAAAATTACTGTCCCACCTTTTTGCCACAGGGTAATATTTCCTCACTACACAGACAAAAAAGCTCTATGCAGCAGTCAAGTAGCTTTGTTCAAGACTCACATGACAAGAAAGTCACCAGCAAACAGGGAATGAACTAAAGTTTCCCCTTTCTCTGGCTGCAGATTCATGGCATACTTTATCTATCCTAACAGCAGGCTGTTGCTGCAATGGGCAATTTCTCTTCTCTGCTCCAACATCCCACATTCCTACTTCTTTTCTTGAATCTGACATAGCAATAATGCACCCATGCAATGACTCACATCAGCTGTGATCAGAAAACAAACACTCCAAAACCAATAATCAAGGTGCCACAGGGCCAGTGAGCCCTTCCAGACCACTGAGCACAGTGGTTGCTGGGTTGCTGAGCCAAAGCAAGTGAAAGGGCAGGAACATACAATGGTGAGAATGGAGACCCTCCCTTCTGAAGCAGCTCATTGCCAGAGAGCATCAACAAAACTGAACCTGCAGCTGTTCCCAGCTCTACCAACCATATGTTGAGCCTCGCTGTAGATATGCTTTTATTTCATCCTTTTAGGTACAAACCAGAGAATTTTGGGAAAGAAAGCAAGTGCAGTTTGATATATAAAGCACAGGAGGCAAAGCAGACTCACAGCTGTTCCTTAGGAATGGGTGCTCTGCTCCACAGGTGTGAAAGCTGTATTCCTTGTCCCAGTGAAATCAATTCTGAAGTACACTCAACATATTTGACTTCTGCTGCTCAGCAGTCACAGTGATCTTGACATTTAGTTTTCCCATCCTCTCTTCTTCCTCACTTCTTGAAAAATTCATGCTATGCTTGGGATGTGTCCATCCTTCTAAATTACTTTGTACAGATAACTAATTTTCACACAAAGACAGAGCTGCAGAAAGAACATTTAATGGTTCATGTTTGAGGAAAGACATGGCTCTTCCCAGGCACAGAAAGTTTTAAAGAAACACAGACCCAGCAGCAGAACAGTGACACAGGTAGAGAGTGCAGTGACACAAATACAAAATGCAGCAGCAGGGCTGTAACAGTAAGGCTATAAGGGTAAGAGAAACCTGACAAAGCTAAGCTGCTGTGGCAGTCAAAAAAATCACAGGCAGCCCAAAGGAAAATCTCCTCGTAACATGTGTTGTTCCTATGACAAATCCTTTCTGCAGCCAAATTGTAAAGCTAATGCAACCCCAGAGAGACAACAGCCATTCTGCAAGACCTGGAGGAAGGTCCCAGAGGAAAAGAATCACAGGAGGTTCAAGACTCAGCCCCCCATGCCTGGGACATTCCTTCAGCTTGGGGAACCTCATTGCAACAAGTTCAGACACCAAGTACAGAAGTGCAAGTAAGTATACAGAGCTGGAGGAAGCAGTGGGTGGAGAGAGGGGACATTTGTTTATTTTAGACTTCACAAAATTTGTGCCACTTCTCCACCCTCTCAAATAACAGCCACTTGAAGAACAAAGGAGCTGACTTTCACATGCAATAGAGAAAAAACATTGGAGTCATCAGCAGTAGTCACGTCATACAACAAAACAGCTTCTACAAACACAGACCACCAAATGCTCACCAAAGTAATCAAACATACTAAAGCCAGTATATACAACTCAAGTACATGAGAAATCTTAAATTATTTTTAAAACAATTGAGTATATATTTATTCATTCAAACTTTGAAAATACCCTTGCAATGTAATCGTTGCAAGTATTTATACTTTTCTATCAATTTTCATCACCCAAACTAACTTTAAACCCAATCTCAACCTGTGTTGAGACAGAGCACCTCAAAAGCAGCACGGCAACAATGCCAACCTCAGCCCTCTCAGAGAGATTTTTGCTTATTTGGCCAATTGTGTCAATTCTGGTTTTTGGAACAATTCAATTTAATCTTCTTTCTAGATATTTCTAGAAAAAGAAGTAGCCTTCTGTGGCCTACTGATGGCCAGGGCCATCAGTGGCCTACAGATGGACACTTTCACACTCCATTTGCAAACACCACCAAAAGCACACTCATAGCAAGCTCACCAGGATGCATGTCAGTGGCTACTGCTACAGTCTCTGGAAGTCAGTCACTTGCAAGGATGTGACTCATAGCCACGATAGCCTATAAATAGGGTACAACATTTACCAAATTATCTCCATTTGCACCTGAGACACTTTGTGCCATCAAATGGCACTCCTATCCAGTTGCCAAGTCAGCAGCTGCTGTATAATCCTGAGGCAAGTTAAGGCTGTATGGTTTGGGGAGTATTAAGATTTATATTTTCCTTCCCATTAACAGTGCATTGTAAAGTGCCTCTACTTCTTCTTTACTGGTGACCTTGACAGAGAAGCTGAGATCTTTAAGAAACTCAGCTTTGCACCTCCTGAGTGACTAACCTTGGCCACAGAAACAAAGAAAGAAACAATGCACGGTGTATTTTCTAAATTACACTAGTCTTCAGAGAACACTGCCCCAGACAAAAGGGATTGAGGACACATGTGTCGAGACACTGAGGGTGCATTGAGAAGATCACTAAGACTCCATGCTGGTCCATCAGAACTTGCAGAGCTGAATATCAAAGGCTTTAGCTGTTAAAGCTTCAGCACTCTGCTGGCAAGTTAAGGTACCTACTATCACAGCTTTCCCCAGCACAGCACCCCTCCACTTCATCAGGATAATCTCTATCCTTATCTGCTGTAAGCTGTGTAAATCTAGAGATTTTAAGAGTATGAATATCCTCACTTTGGCTAAAGCAGACTTTTTTTAAAAGTATGTATGAAAGATCAGCAAATTTACCTGAAGTTTGTTTTCAGTGTTTTTCATTATTCAGTACTACCCAAAACTATTCTGGATATTTCTCTTTAAGTCATAATTGTTCTACTCTGTCTTGCAAAAGAGAAGTGCACACCCAGTCAGCAATCCTACCAAATTCAGAACAGATGTTTATAAATAATTTAAAAACCTATGTTGAAGCCAAGTACACAGAGTTCAACAAGACAGCATGTTGCTCAAGTTACCTTTCAAGGCTGCTTCTAGATTCATAGAGCTTTCATTGGTCTGATAATGGCTAACACAATCTGATAGTAAAAAATCACCATTCCTAGAGACCATCATCATCCTCATGTAATTTCTGTCTATTCCTCTCTACAAATACTATACAGCAACAAAAATGGGAGTATTTGGTGCAGATAAACATGAAGTATTGTCAGTGCTCTTTTCAGATATAGGCCTGCTCAAACAGTTAAAGTCTTCTTAATCTGACCAGACTTTGGACAAATACATTCATGAGCCAGGAGATGAGGCATAGGCTGGCCTTCTCTGGTCACCATAAACTCTGTAATCCTACCCATGAAAATGGCACAGAACAAGAAGAGTTTTCTTTTCTGCACCATCTCTTAAGTCTTGTACTGCTAGAACAAGAGTGTCGGTCCAAGACAATCCAAGTCAGAAATACTCCTAATGATCCATCAGTGCTTTGAATAGCTGTGGAATAGTGATACCTTCTCTTTCACACAGAGGCACTGAGGGGAGGAGAGAAGCAGAGAGGAAGAAGTCTTTTCATCTGTCATACCACCAGCATTTAAGGAAGCACGAAATAAGGAGGATTTAAAATAAAGCTACAGTCCAGTTTCATCCACCCTTGACCTTCCAGCCGTTTACTGAGTAATGCAATAGTATAATTAATGAACTTTTGCATCAAAGAAATTATGTGCAAATGCCATGTTTTCCATGCAAACCAGAATTTGGATGCAGTGGTCAGTTTTTGTTTTACCAGGCCAAAACTTCAATCTGTGATCAAAGTTAAATAAATTACTGTGACACTGGATGCTGCTAAGGAGTGTCTCATCTCTCTTGCTTATGTAACTCTCACTGTATCAAAAGCAGCAACTACAGGAAACCCTTACATTCTAAAAAGAGAGGTACAAAACACCATTCTTTCATTTAAAATCTATGCTACAGACAGGAAGATGGCAGGAAAATTTTGGAAGTGCACTGCTTTTTAAAGTTCACATAAAGCATTGGACTAAAGAAAAGTAAACTGGGGAGACACTACCCAAACCTCACATATATTCTTCATGCACAGTGCTGGTGTCTCACAATGTACTGCACAAATGCTCCACAGGACTAGCATCCAACCTCTCTGCCATTGCCCAAGGGAGGTGTGCAGGGGTCTCTGCATGCAGTCATGTCACCTGCCATCACTACAGCTTCTCTCAGAGTATGTGGTCTTGGTCTTAAAGAAGGAAACTGTTCAGCACAACATGGCCCTGACCAGGTTATTTAATGACGTTGTGTCCCATTTTTATCTGTTGCATACAAAAAAATGATCCCTGCTCCAAAACATTGTAACACTCATAAAGTATTTGTGGGACTTGGGAGGAAAAGTGTTCTATGAAGATCTAAAATAGGAGTTAGAAGGCTTCTGAAATCTGATTTTACTGTTGTTGTTTCAGGACACTTTTGTAGCTGCTTTTGCACAGACAACACGGGAAGTGAAAGAAGAGACAGACAGCCTCATACTCTAGGAAGTAAACTGCCAGCAGTAGCACCTTGTGCTTCTGACTTAAATGGGTACAGGCCCAGTATTGTTACATAAAATGGGCAGAAGCACCATCTTGTGTGGAACAGGCAGTGGTGGCCACTCAGGTTGTGCAGTGCCCTGCCCTTTTAAAGAGCTAGAGAGTCTGCTCTTTACCAAAGTTAGAAAGTTTGCTTCAGGTGCAAGAAGAATAAGTCTAGGAAAGGTTGCTGATGCAATACCCATATAAACACACAGATATGACTTTCAAAAACCACCTGCTAGTGGTGGTTTACAGATACTAAGAGAAAAGAGCAGCTACCTCAATTACAGTTTACATGAAAACACAAAATAATAGACTAGGAAAAGTAAAATAACTAATTAGAGAGAGAAAAAGATATCAAGATAACAACAGGCTGGGTTACCAAAACAGGATGCACAAACATTAAAATACATCTGTTTTGGAGACACACCTCCTCCCTATAAACACAAAATCAGATTCTCAACTTTTATTTTAAAAACCCCAGTTCTCCTGTGGAAAAAAAACCCACAAAAATGCTGTAATCGTGAGCAATGCATAACCAATGCAGATTCTACAGATTTTGAGACAGCTTTTTCCCACCATAAGGTACCAACCTCAAAACCCACAG